CACTAATAATGGGATGTGAATGATCTGTTCATTTCACTAGAATATTGAAATTTAGGAATACCTAGCGAAATGTTTAACAGGATCAACTCTTCAAATGCTGGTCACCTGAAGCACCCAGGGTATGGATTCATCTGAAAGGGCAGTCCACAGACAGGTGGTTAGAAGCCTGGACAGAAAATTGGAATGCTCAATCAAGTATTTATTATCTTCTAAGGGTAGGATTCTGTAGGGAGGAAGGGGAGGATTAATACAAGAACATATGATCACAAATGTTAGAAATTAATATAATTTAATATAATTTTTAATTTAATATAGTAATACATTGAATCACTCAGTCTATCCCTGATAGAATTGATCTCTACAGAACACTCAGAATCTAGAGAAATTAGAATGACTTGGGAAAGGGGTGGAGATGTTCAGTGAGAAACAGAAGGTTATGAGGAAGGTTACCTCAGATTTTCCTTAAAAAGGACTGATCAAAATAGGTCTCAGTTTTATTTTAAATGAATGGGTAAATACCAATGATTTATTAATAATTTTATTAGTAATTTCATGTAGTGTTTTAATAAGTTAAATTTTTTTTTAAATCCCTGCAGTTCTCAAATAACAAAACAACCACCCGCCCCCTCCAAAATCCCAAACACGTTTCCAGTGGCCAGTGTTTTTATTTTAAATCCTTGGTATAATTTTCTTTGTGGCTTCTATTTTTTTTATTGTATATAAGTAAAGGGAATAAAACTTCTCTGCATTCAGAAAAACTGACAATTTTCTGAAGGGTCTAATTCAGCTCAGATAGCGCAAAAAATCTTTTTGTTTATTAAAAATAGGCTTTATACTTAAATTATGGTGTGTCAGGTCTTTGATGTCTTGCTTTCTTAGGCCTGGATTTGGTAACTGGTGCTGTGTGGGGAGTTTGTATATAAGTAAAAGGAATAAAACTTCTCTGCATTCAGAAAAACTGACAATTTTCTGAAGGGTCTAATTCAGCTCAGATAGCGCAAAAAATCTTTTTGTTTATTAAAAATAGGCTTTATACTTAAATTATGGTGTGTCAGGTCTTTGATGTCTTGCTTTCTTAGGCCTGGATTTGGTAACTGGTGCTGTGTGGGGAGAGACAGGGGATTTGGTTGCAGGAGTGTGACCTAGTAGTAATTCTGATTTATAAAAATCCTAAAGAAACAGTGTAAACAAGCCCTTTATTTTGGATATTTTCAACAGAAAGGGACAAGTCTGATAGTCTTAATTCAGGCAAAACTTCAGAAGACACTACTGGGATTTTTTTTCAAGGTCCACAGGGTTACATCCAAAGTTCTGATTTAGATTTCAAACACACAATTGCCCATCCTTGGATACCTTGTAATTCTGCAACTGTGTAAATTTGTACAAACACATTTGTAAGGCATGTAGTGCTTCTCATCCAACACAGAAGGCTTTGAAACAAGAGTTTGCACAGGTATTTCAGAGCTCTTATTTTTCTCTACATCTGGCTTTAAGTATGCTTCACTCTTGTTCCCTAGATGCTTTCCTTTTCCAATTGCTGGCCTTAGCATTTTTTGGCAGGATCACAGTTCACTCTGCATTAATGTGAATTAGCAATTTCATTTTAATAAGTTAATCAGATGGCTACATGTTCCTTAAATATGGCAATGCCTCTGTTTTCTGGTTCTTGCTCTCCAGTTCACAAAAGTTTGTAAAGCTCATGCAGAGAGTGAACCAAGGAGATCTACTTTGAGGTAAAGTATTTTTCCAAGATAGCTTCCTAACCACCTCATAAGAAATTCTGTAATTTGGAAATATAATAAAGTATCCATATGAAAAGGCTAGCGCACATAAATATAAGAATACTTGAGTTTCCCTAACAAATTTCTTTAGAGTGAAGCTACTGCATTTTTTAACTAATCAAAGCCACTCAATAAAATAAAATCGGGATAAATTACCTACTTATAATTAGAAGGCCCATCTGTTGTGCTTCTATGTAACAGACCTCAACATTTGTAGTAAACCCAAAATTGGGTTTTGCCTTAGTGCCCACAGCCAAATTTTCCTTTTTTTCTTTTCCCTCTGGGGAAAGGAAGTCTTGTAATGTCCTTTGCAGCACAGGAGGCCATGTTTCCTTGGGACTGTTTGCATGTAAGCATGTGAAGCAATTGAGCACAAACAACTCTGTGTATAAATATATTGTAAATGTTTAAATGTTATATGTATACTGTTTTTACATGTTAATAGTGTAAATAGTTGGGTGCATCCAATACTTTATTGAAATTAACAATGAAGACTTAAGTTCTTTATTTGCCTTAATGTAAAATAATAAACAAACCATCTAGGCAACCAGGCTTCTTTACAGCAACAAAAATAATTATTGGACTTTGATTCTAAAACATCACTATAATGCTTGCTCATAGCATCAGGAAGTAGTAAAAACTCTATAGTATTAGGGTTTTTAGTAGTTTAAAACTGACTCAAATGTAAAGGGGTTTTAAGCATCTTTCATGTGAACATTCTCTTATGTATAATCATTATCCACAGGGTTAATCAGCCTGGAAAACCCACTTAAAAATGGAAATGCAAATCAAGTTCAGGGAATATCAAGCAGTAGCAGGTACTACAAAAGATATAAATATTTTTAGACTATATCTCTCTACAGTAGCAACTTAATTTAATTGTACCTTTAAAAATTTGGAAATATCTTAAATTCCTGTTTGCAAATATCTGTGTGTGTGTGTGTGTGTGTGTGTGTGTGTGTGTGTATTTATATAAATATTTTATATATGCTTAACCATTTTAGCTTTACAGGAAGTTTTGACGTTTATTGCTTCTTAGACATAAAAACGAAGACAGACCAATTAAATACAATAAAAAAAAATGAAGTCTTTATTCTTTTGGCTCAACTGTAATGTGGTTTACTGTTCTTGTATGGTAATAGCATTTTCCTGCATGCAGTTCACCAACACACAAGTCAATAATTTTAGTAAAAAGAGGAATCAACATTTAATTTTTGCTTGTGTAAGAAACAGAAAAATGTCCTGATGTGATCAATTATACAAGTTCGCTACTTAGTTCTTGTGAAAAAAAATCATTGTGGATCCCATATTATATCTAGAACAGTTCTAGTGCAGCATGAATCAACAAGATAAGAATAATCTATGTAAACAAACACTGGTAAAGATCAAGGATTCCATGAATAAAAAGACTACCTTGAAACTTCTGATGCAGGCAGTGTTAGGACTTCAAACAAATCTTCCCCACCACATTTCAATTACAAGTTATATCTATTTGGAAGCAAGTGCATTTTGGACTCAGTTTGAAACTTATTTCACATTAAAATGTGTGCAAAAATACAGTACTAATAAAAAGCAGAAACCTAGAACTACCTCATTCTCTCCTTTATTTCTTATTTTGTGAAGTTCTTGAATTAAAAAGTGCTATGGACAGAAAGTAACAAAAGTGACTGTGACATCAACCTGAAGATAATTTTCTTTTCTTATTTTATGTACAAAATGCTGAAAAATAAAATAAAATGATATTTTTACAATATTTATATTTTCTTAGAAAATTCTATCCATGTATTTTCAACAGATTAAGCAGTTGGCAACATGTCCTGTACAGTTGGGCTATACTCCATACAGTTTTCACTTAAAATTTAAGAATGCAAAGCAAGAAGCTCTTAAATAGCTGCAAACTATTGCTCGATGACATGAAAGAATGATGTCCATTTCAACAATTTGTTTCACTTTACCACTGACATATGGTTTCCCATATTAAACTCTTGAACAGTGGAAGGAGTAAAGTACAGCAGCAAAGGCAAGATAAACATGCATCAGTGATAGCCTCCAAACTATCTATATTGGTGCAGAATACATCATATTATCTGCTGAAAACTTGCAAACTACACTTTTTGTGGTACATATTTGATCCAATAAATATTGTGCACTGGTCATTATTTGTTTGCTCAAACATGCACCACAGGGTAAAATAACTATTTACATCAACGGTGTTAGATTTTTGACACATACAATGTCAACCTTGCTGAGAGCAGATGATGGCTAAACGATACTGCAGGGTGAAGTACTGCAGAGTGAAGCAGAATAACTTTATGAAGGTTGTTTTTTTGGTCAGTTAAATTTGTCAGGTTAGATTCAATGGATATTTCTTTTCCACAGAAGAACACTTTAAAATGGAATTTAAATCCACATAATTTTTAATAGAGTTTGTCTCAACTACAGTTTAATGGTTTGTGAAAAAATAAAACATCTGTTCAATAATTCTATGGGACTTTACAGGCACATTAAGATTTGTCTTGATGAGACACCACATGAATACTGTTTTAAGCACCTCAAAATATAGAGCCACCCTGAAACATGGAAGTAGTTAGACTCCATTGCTTTGTGCGATGTCATGTTTTTCCATGCATGATCTACAAGTGCAGCATGCCTTCATGCAAATCACTTCCATCTGTACATTATAGAGAATCAGAGAATATAATACCTGATCCCCATCCCCCCTTCCCCAACATAAAACCCATTTACAAAAATAGTCACATATAATATTAAACAACCTGTGGATTAAAAAAATGATAAATTCACCAACACTGATTTTTGTAAAAATATGGCAATTGTGGCAGTTGAAATGCAAACAGTGGATACAGTTATTGTACTCAAGTGTAGTATGTTAAACATGTAGATTTGTAGGTTTGCACCTTTTTTAAATTGGTCCCTACAGTCTGAGTAGCCATTTTGTCTCCTCTTCAGCAGTGTCAGCTGGTAATGAAAACAATAACCTCCTGTCAAGGTTGTTACTCTGTTTTACAGAGTTACAGTTTGATGACGAGGGGTCACTGTCTTGTTATAGGCACTGACCTTTAGTATATATATCATTATTTATATATATATTTATATATGTAAAATCTGTCAGTTTGGCATAGACCTCCTACAGGAGTCCCGTTGACGGAAATACATCACTTTCTCAAGCTGTAAACACTATTTCATAAATAGAATTCTTTCTTACTTTTTACTTTCCCTGATGTCTTTACCTTTATCTTCCTTCTCTGATTTGTCTTTTTCATATTTCTCTTTGTCAGGCTTTGTTACACTATCGTAGGAAGGTGGAGAGGTTGTGGAAGGAGTCATATCTGTTTTTTCTGGAGTGGAGTTCTCATTCAGCTTATCCATAATCATATCTTCTTTGATAGGCAGGTCATCCTCATCTTTGTCTTCTTTTTTAAACATACATGAAACTTTTTTAACTTTTTGCCTTAAAAGGTGCCGTCTGTAAGCACGTTGAATGATGACAGCAGATACCTCTTCTTGTTTCCTTTTTAATGTGGTTGTAATTGGTTCATAGGAGACCTTAGAAGGATTGGCTGCCATAAACCGATCTTCCATTTGTATTCGAAGTGCATCCATCTCCCCACTTTCACCCAAAACACGCTTTGTAAAAGCAAACAAGATGTCCAGGCAGTGAATTCTATCACCACTTACCATGGGCAGATCCATTGCAATAAGCTGGACTTTGTTGGGCTTTGCTATAAGAAGAGGAGGATCCAGAGAAGCTGCAAAGTCAGACAGTTTACTGTATTCTATAAACTGGGTTGCATCTGGATCAAACTTTTCCCAGACCTCATAGAACATCTCAAAGTCATCCTCACTTAAGGGCTCAGCACTTTCTTCAGTTGCAACACTGAAGTTCTCCAAAATCACAGCAATATACATGTTTACTACAACTAGAAATGATATGATAATGTAACTGACAAAAAAGAAAATCCCAACTGAAGGGTTACCACAGTCTCCTTTAACAGAGCTTCCAGGGTGATCTTTATGTGGGTCACAGTCTGGTTCCCCACTGTTAAGAATTGGTGCTAACAAGCCATCCCAACCAGCAGATGTGGTAATTTGAAATAGGCAGATCATGCTGTTGCCAAAAGTTTCAAAGTTGAACATGTCATCGATCCCAACTTCCCTCTTAACATAGGCAAAGTTGGACATTCCAAATATGGCATAGATAAACATGACCAGGAAGAGCAGGAGGCCAATGTTAAACAAAGCAGGAAGAGACATCATCAAAGCAAAGAGCAAAGTGCGAATCCCTTTAGCTCCCTTAATGAGTCGCAGGATTCGACCAATTCTGGCGAGTCGGATGACTCTGAACAAGGTGGGGGACACAAAATATTTTTCGATCAACTCAGCTAGAAACATTCCTGTTAAAAAATAAATTAAGTTAGTCAAATAGGCCATTAATTTAAAAACAAATACTGGATATTTATCCTAGCATATTCAGGCTGACCATAGAGGAATATAGCAAACTTGTAGTACACTATAGCAAAGTATACAAAATTGCAGTAGTTTGTATTGTCACCATTCAGTTAATTGAACAAAACATTCACAGTATGAAAATCCACAAAAAACCAAACAAACCCAAAAGTTTTACAGTACTCTGCAAGACCATGCAAACTGAGCCAAAGAGATGCATATGTTTTAGCTGGCAAGGTTCCTTGAGTAGATTGTGACATCTTTTATTAGACCAACTGAGTAGTTGGAAAAAAGCTCTTAGCAAGCTTTTGGGTGCAATCACCTGATACTTTAGCTGCTATCATTATACATATGCATGTGTGTGTGTGTGTGTGTGTGTGTGTGTGTTTTCTAGGACAGAAAAATCCTGAACAGGATTATTATAAAATGTTCTTGGCCAGCCTATTTGTATTATCTCAATATCATAAATATTGAGGTCTGAGGAATATTGTTCTGTTTTAGTTATAATAAAAGTAATATAGATTAATTGGAAGGAAGAGCCCTGTTTATAGTTGTTGGCAATAAATTACAATGTAAGCAAATCAAACTGCTTATATGAAATATATACATTTATACAGAAAATTAGTTTTTTAGTCATATCTGGAATAATGTGACCACAAATTCAATGGTAATCCCACAGCAACCAGAAATGCCATATTTACTTGAATATAAAATGACCCCCCCAATAATTAGATTCTATATATGAAAAAATTATAAATTTGTTATAATTTTCCAAGTATAAAAACTAATTATTGGAGGTTTACCTTGAGTTTGTCCCTCTCCCACTGTTTGAGGATGAAAAATATATCTGCAGGGGTCAGGTTGCCATGTGCCTCCCTACCTCCAATATCTTTCCCCTGCATCCCCTTCTCAACCCTTTTACTGTCAGACCCTGCTCTCCCTCAGCACATGGAAATAAGGAGAAAATTTGAAAAAACTGACCTCGAAATAAAGACAAATTACTATGAGTACCCATAAACTTACTATAGGTACCCATAAACCCAAAACAATGGGGTGAAGTCCCCCCCAGGAAAAACAAACTCCGTTGCCACTAGGGGGTGTTGGTTATAGTCACCTCGCAAATCTCAAAAGGGCTTTCACTCAACAAGGACACTCCTTCAGACATAGATCGCACTTTTGAAAGCCACCTGGATACCATGTGAAGAATTGCTGCAGTACAAAAAGAAAATCCCCCAGAAATCACATACCATTAGTTATGACATATCATCCTTCCCTGGAGCCTAAACAGAAAATACTCAAACAATTGCAACCCATTCTAGAAGGGGACCCAATTCTTAAAGAGACCTTCCCAGAACCACCCATCCTAGCACCAAACCTCACCAATCTCATTATCAGAAGCAAACTTCCTATGGCCCAAAGCACACAGAATGGATCCAGACCATGCTGGGACAAATAGAAAACCTGCCAACACATCTCCACCACACCCATAGTAACTACACCCCACAACAGAACCATCCCCATTCCTAGATCTTACACCTACACCTCCAAAAATGTAATATAATCTCATGCAGTGCACTAAGTGCCCTGATGGAAAATACATATGAGAAACCAAAAAAACCAACTGTGTACCAGAAAGAATGCATATTGAAAATCTATCAAAGACAAAAATACCCAATTACATGTGGGTGCACACTTCTCACAAAACAGCCACTCTCTCCTCCAGTCTCTCAGTTCTAATCCTCAAAGGGTGCATCTACATGAGATGCCATGTCACCATAGCAATGAGCTACGGTGATGTAGCCATTGCTACAGTGATGTAGCATCAGCGGGCACTAACTGTGATGCCATTGCCACTGTGTAGTAGCAATAAGCTACTGCACAGTAGCTCGTTGTTACTGAGAAGTAGGGTTAGAAATGACCCGTGTGCTGCTGGGACTGCAATACTGGCGGGGACTGCACCGTCATTTAGTAATTTAGTGAACTGCGCACTGGGGGGCATGTGTAGATGTGCCCAGTGGGAATTTACAAAACATCTTTCATAGACAAGCCTATGAGCTTTACTTCATAAATCTACTGGATACAAAAAATCATGGACTAAATATAGACATTGAATTTATAGCACGTTATAATCTGCCTGCCACCCAACAGCCTGGGGTAGCCTCTACATTTTACTAACTACATTCTGTCACCAGGTCAAAATTCCCCTCTTTTCCCCACCACCTATTTGTCTCACAACTACTGTCTCCCATGGCCTCTGATCCTCACTGCCATGCATTTGCATTTTCACAAACCTGCATTTTGTACATTGACTTCTGTTCCACCCAGGAGAACACAAAACATCAGCAGACTCTCCCTATGCCTGAAGAAGGGTGTTTGTGCCTGAAAGTTTGCAAAGAACAATTTTTCCAACTATTTAGTTGGTCTAATCAAAGCTATCACATTTACCCAAAGAACTTTGTCTTCCTATTGTCACTCTAGAGCACTCCAGTTCCCAGAATGCCTTGAGCTCTGTGACATGTACTGCCAATGCCTGCTGCTTGATGATGCTCTGTGTGCTGCCTTGTGCGGAAGGGTGATAGAGGTTTGCTCTGGACATCTTATTCACACTGTACGCCTCTGACCCAAGAACCCCAGAATCACGATCTCAGAACTTCACACAAAAATACAAGACATAGTACCCAAAACACCAACACTCTATAACATGTCATAAGTAAACACCAATGGCCTGCCAATGCAGTAGCAGGGAAGGAATTGGTTAATATATGCTCAGAAGATTCTAGGAAAGTGCTATACCCCTAGCTACATAGGAATACAGAACCCTCTCAATTCTTCCCCAGTCTGACCTAGGGCAAAAAAATCCTTCCTATTCCCAGATTTGGCAATCAATATGACCCTGACTGAATGCTCTAGCCAGTAACCTCTGGACTTTCCAAGTACTAACAGGATCATCATTGCATGAAAGAATGCCTGTCAATCTGTGTCAATTTGCTTCAAAACAACACTTTCATGTATTGGTTTGTATCTATACTGGAGTGCACTATCTGTGCAATATCTAATTTCTGAAAATGTATCACACCTAATGGGTTTAATAGATAAGATAGATGTATAATACTGTTCATTTATTTCATGAACAGTATAAAATTAGAAAAATAGCACACAAAAAATCAAGGTGTATGGTGATAGTACTGAATTCAAATGTTAATGGCCCCAAGATTCCAACAGTCCCTTCTTGAAAGTGAATTGTTCTTACCTACTATGGAGAGAATAACAACCACAAAATCAAAAATGTTCCAGCCTATGGTGAAGTAGTAATGGCGGAGTGAGATCAGTTTCAGGACACATTCTCCGGTGAAAAGGACAATAAACACTAGGTTAATCCGAGATAAAATAGTTTCCATTTCTTTACTCTGATCATCCGTTTCTACCATCATGGTGACCATGTTAAGACAGATAAGAATCATAATACTGATATCAAATGCTTGTTTTGTAACAAAGTCGAAGACCATGCCTTGAAACTTGTTCTATGGGTAAAAAAGAGAGACAGAGAGAGAGAATCAATACATTATGCACACACCTTGTGCCAGATTCTCTTCCATTAGGCACATAAATGGACTTAGGAGCCTAAGTGCAATTCTGCTCCTCCTTGCTTGAGTCTCAGATAAACAGTTAATGCGAAATGTGAATGAGTCCCCCTCCTCTCCCTCTTCCACCTCACTTATTTTTGTGACTCAGTCTTAAGAGTAAGACAATAGTGTGCTACCAGTGTAATGCATTCATGGATTTTCAGGACTTGAACAGAATGGAACAGACCACTTAGGTGGACTAGAAACTGGCATTTTCTTTATAATTCCCCTTTCCAAGTAACTAGAAATTAACTGAATTGATTACACATTATAATCATATTGTTTAAAACTATTTTGATATATTCACTTATTTGTCTGAGCAAAGACTCTTGCATGCAAACTGAATATATAGGCATTTAATAATTGTATTTATACCTATTAAAGGATGTATTTTAAAATGCATGTTTTCTTTTTCAAAGGAGATTTGGTCATCTTATATCTTATCATATATCTTCCAAGTGATAGTGATTACAATGAACTAAAAAAAACCAGTATTCACCTTTGGAGAAGCTGACAGAAAAGTCTTACTGTTTGCCCATGCCATGACTTCCCTTGCCTGAAAACCTATAAAGATTTAGGACCAAAGAAAATCCAACCCTCCCCCAACAAGTATTGATACTATCATTAGCCTCAAATAACTAAGAAAAACACTCACTGGAGAAAATTTTGTTTCCATCTCTGCATCTGGAGAAGATTTCCTGCCTGCGCAATCAATCTGGTTCTTGTGCAGAAGGGCAGCATATGATTTGAAAGACCCTTAGGGATGTGCACTCTCTGAGGAGTATACACCCCCGCTTTGTGGGAACTCCCCGAATGACATTGTGCTGGACTTAGGCTGCGTAATTGAAGGATCAGGGATTTCCCATTGCCTGGATAATCCAACCTTCCATATCTCAGACAGACATATTAAGGAATGGGAGCCTCACTAAATCAGTGGGCTACAATAATCTCCACAGAATGGCTGTGGGGCCATTTGTGGCTTGAGAAAAATATTCCCTCATGAGGCACCCATACTTTTGGTTCAATTCTTGATCCATAGTTATTTGCTTTCATCAGACCACTGGTCTGAAGGGTAATGTCTACAGTCCCTCATGCCTTTCAACAGCTGGAAAGTGAGAATGGAAAGCAAGGGAGACTCCTGTACATGAAAGATAGTTACTGGATACTGATAGTTATTTTTGATTAAAACAGATTAGGTTTTCCTTTATATCAGTTATACTTTCTCCTTACAATCTAACCATATCCATTATTTAAATAGTTTAACAAAAAATTAAAGGTTAAATGGAGGGATAAGAAAGGAATTTTCCTTCTTACCGCTGGTCTAGGTATAGGTTTTTGTGGTTTCTTTGAACCCAACTTTTTCATTGCATTGTAATATTTCTTCTGTTCTTCTGTCATGAAGATATCTTGCCCTCCAAAGTAAATACATGAAATCAGAATTGGTTACAATCATGTACCTCCAACTGAATGGACAGAGACAAGCTGGCTCTCTCACCCTTATTGTATTTTAATTATAATATAGGGAGCTGGTAGCTTGCCTTCCCTTCTTAAAGATTCCCTTCTTAAAGACCTTCCTTTCTTAAAGTTTCTGCAAGCTTTTCTATGAGAAGCTCTTACACTTCCAGTAGACCTTTGAAGTCTCATAGATGATAGATATGCCTTTTTCACTTAATTTCTTTCAACCTGTACCGAGATAAAAACCATTACCACTCTCCAGTTCTTTCCCCTTATTTTTATCCTTAGAAAAATGTTGGTGACATTCCAAAATTCAGGTGACCCTGGGAGCCACAAAAATAAGTGTTAGTAGGCTTGAGGGATTAGGATGGACAGGCTAAACTCTCTTCCCTCCCTAGCACATGGCACCAGCAGCTCATTCCTCTCACTGCACTGGGAAAGCATGTGGAGATCCCAAAACTGCCAGATGGAGATTATTAGAAAGACTCAAATTATGCTGGGCTTCCCCATGTCAAACAACATCTAGAGCCCACTCTCCTTCCACTGCCTTTTCCTGCTGTAAGATAATGTGATTATATTTGTAGCTCAAGTAACAACAACATTTGCATTAGTGCTTATAAAGTAGTAAGTCTAAACACAGTACTGTATAAAGAAAAACTACTTGACAACTATCACTATATTTTGTAAATCCACATGAGTCAGCTTTCAGATGTAGAAGCCCACATTTCTTTTCTTCTTTGACATGGCAATTATAAATGGCTAGACTATTTATTATTTGGTGTATTTACAGAATTTTTTTTCAAAGATTATCTTTTTTTCTTTATTTAGCTTGAATAAATATGCATGTTTATCGTTTTGTTCATTTGTCTGTGTACTCAGCTTGCTAAATTACAAACCATTAATAATTAAGTACATTTACTATATGTTCAGTTCTATATGTTCAGTTTGTTAACCCTTTCTAAAGAGTAAAATGGCATTTTTTTATTTAGTCATGATGATAGTTCACTGTGCATTAGGCCAAAAAAGCATCACAGTTGTATTTAGCTTGTTTAAAGAGGAGTGATAAAATACTTATCTTCTTTTTCTGCTGGTTGAAGTTATCAATAATGACACCAATGAACAGGTTCAAGGTAAAGAATGATCCAAAGATTATAAAGATGACAAAGTAAAGATACATATACAGGTTTTCCTCATACATAGGCTGATCCAATACCTACAGAAATGGGCAAATGTTAAACTATAGTAACAGTGTGGACACCAAGAATCTTATTTGTTTTATAAAATGTCAGGCTCTGTTATGCTGGCTCATGCATCTTGTGAGCAAGACTCCACGTACTCTACAACGTTGTCTCCACTGAACTGTGCTATTAACAACTGTAGAAAGAAATTCTAAAAACATGACATGAGTCCTAATCAATAGTGTATAATATGCCTGACTCTGTAGGCAGCTTGAAACCACAGCTATAAGATGTGTGAACTGTCACTTTCATTTCCGTCAAGGACTTGGGGACTCATCAATTCCACTAAATTGTAGTTTGGAATTTTTCAAAGAGGCCATGGAGTTCAGCATTTTTGCCACAGGGTATGACATTTTGTTTTCTATTTTTCTTCACTGCCAGGGCTCCTCTGAAGCTGACCCCATGTTTACCAAATTTTACTTCAAGAGGGAATTAATTGTAGTTGAGTATATGCTCCAAGCATAGTTTTATGGAGCAATGCAGGATAGGGTGGGAGATCCGGGGCCATGCCTGCATGAGAAATGTTTTATTGGGATAGGTTTACCAGTATGTGCCAAATCACACACTATGCTTGTCACTAAATGGGATGTGGGCAAGCAGCAGAGCAGCCTGATTGGAAACAGGGCTCACATGGAAGCAGGAGGCTGCCTGATTGGGAATGGCCCAGCTATCTGTGTTAAGAACAGGCCCTGAGCCATGGAGCCAGCTGTTTGCTGCAAGCAGCTGGGAGAAGAACACCACCCAGCTGGAGCTGTTGCTCACACAACTTCTGGGAGGTACAGGACAGGAATTATGGGGATGATTGGAGGTTTCTGTTCCTGAGGTATGACCTAAAACTATACCCTGCTGGGTTTGGATGCTGTGGTGGGACTGCTGGTGGCGCAGCAGTTCTCAGGAAATGCCACACCTGCGCCTCCCCAGTGAAGGGCGAGTATGGGGCTCCAGAAAACCTCAACCCCCACTGCCTTGTGGGTTACCCCATTCAGGGGAAAGGCTAGGGGAGCACACCCCAAAATAAAAGCACAGGGCCCAGGGTCATGAAGTGAGGCCTGAGGCGGGGTCCAGGCTGGAGAAGAGGGCCTGAGATGGGGTCCAGGTCCAACAGTGAGGCCTGAGGCTCAAATGAGGGGGTGGGATGAGTTTGGGGTTGAGAAGCCCGTGTGGGGGCACGAGTTTGAGGGTGGGATTGAGAGCCCAGTGTGGGGTGCAGGGATTGAGAGTCCTGATGTGAGGCACAGGGATTGCAGGCCCCATCTTGAGGGCATGGGAGTGAGGGTCCTGGTGTGAGGGCAATGGTGTGAAGCTATGGATGCGAGCTGTGAGGCATGGGACACGGTATAAGGTGATGTTGGGAGCCATGTATAGGCCCTTTGGCATCAGGGCAATTAAATGGGCAGCTTCCTGCCTCATTAACATCCTCCATTTAGTTTCATCAAAGGAGTGGCAGGTGAGGCAGGCAGGCAGTTATCCCTGAGACAAGTGGGCAGGCCAATGACTAGACCAGCTCCAGGATGACCACTTGTTATACAGTATCACATCCTAGAAAGGTCTCCTAGCATGAAGACACCTAACATCAGTAAATCTGGGATTTTACCAGCTTATTTCACCCTTCTGCTAAGGGCCAGAACACAACTTGCAGCCATGGAATCCAGGGAGAGAGAACTGTAAGGTGCTCAGAGCAGAGAACAGTACAGAAATGGAGAACTGAAAACCTAATGAACCTGAGAGCCCAGTGAAAAGCTCATCATGGAAAACAGTGTTGCAAATAAACATCCACAAATTGTATATTAATGGGTGTGTTCACTTATAGGTGTTTTTGAAAGTTGGCATAGGAGTACAAGGTATTTTGTGGCATTTTGTTGCTATGAATCTGTCCCATGTCTAGTAAACAGGATCCCTCAGAGTTCTTCCTTTGCTCTCCTTTTCTCTTCTATTGCACTCCAGTTTCTGCTTGACAGAACTTTATAGAATCCAGTGTTATTTTATTTCCATTGTCATTCATGTATGATATTAAATTACATTACTTGGATCCTTGACTCAAACACATGACTCCGAATATACTTACATTGCGAGAATCCACTGCTGCATACATGATATCCATCCATCCTTTAAATGTGGCCTATAAAAAGAACATGTATTTAACTTCTGTTGTTCCTACGAGGTTGTTAGCTGGAGAAATTGTTTAAGAATGCATGGCTACTATGTTCATTCCACATTTTAAACACTGGTAACATGCTAGATAACCTTTAGCTCTCAGCCAAATAATTATCAATATACAGTCAGCTAAATTCCTAATTCCTGAGTCCTAATATTTAACTACAAGAGATACTGTATCCAGTTAAAAGTCTTGACTAATTTAAACAATATCCTAAATAAAAGTGTGGGAGTGTATTATGATGTCTAAGATGTAGAGGACTGCTTTTGACCACAGTTAAAAGTTAATTAGATTTTCCACTTAAAACTTAACGTGTTGTTCTTTGTATTACTCTGTATATATATGGCTTTATACATACTCTGGGCTCATCACTCATTCTGCTGCTCAAACATACTATGCATTTAAACATTACAGTGGATACTCCACATGGCTCACTGAATAGCTCAGAGCATGCTTTTGTCTCCCTAGGCATATCTACCACATGTTCTCCTAGCCATGAAAGGTGCCATAGATGGAGTGTGCGTCTGTTCCTCAACATATTAAACACTTAATTTTGCAACCACTCAGGTACACGGAAATTACTTTACCCTAGACCATGGGTAATTAACTTGTTCTATGTTTGCTACAGCTGGATTTCTACTATAATTACAAAAGGAAAATATGGAATAATTAGTTTAAAAATGATGGCATAATACCTAGCCAAACCCTGAGAAAAAAACTAGAATTTTCAAGCTGGAAATACACTCTGGGCCTAAAAAGGTCTGAAAGTTGAGGAAAATATTCTAGTTTGGAACTGATACATTTCTTAGTGCTTTTTAGAATCATCAGCTAAAGTAAAGAACATCAAAAGATGCCCAGAATAGAGTAATCATATTTGAAAGAAATGGTGTGATTCCATGTCTTGTGGAATTATGGAAGGTATTTGTCTAATATTTGTGAGTTTACATTAAAAAAAACCTCTTTTTGCTTTAAATATTTTCTTAGAGAAAAGGAATCAATAGAAGATGAAACAATGGGACAGTCAGAAGTTAAAACTTAGAAGGCAGAATCAATGTCATGCCTAAAATACTCATAGTGCATTGCTGGAAATATCACATCTTGTCAGGTGTCCCACAAGTTCTGGTCAGACAAAGTTAGGAACTCAACCAGCATACCAATTTCCTGGCACTTACTAAAGTTGCCCTTCTTCAAGTCAAAAGAAAGTCCTACATACAGAAATGGCTACAGATTTAAAACACACCATTATTTATGGTGAGTGCCCATTTCTGTTTGCTTGAGATTTCTTCTCCAGGCAACTTAACACATATGTAAGGATTTTCATGAGCACAATGGTAAACCAGGAATATTTTTAAAGGTGGAACAGCATTACTTAATGACAAAAAGCAATGAGAAATTACTCTTCAGTACTACAAGTAAATAATGAGACATTAAAGAGTAGTGACTTACAACTTGAAGAAGAGAAAGATAACCAAGTCCTACATTATCAAAGTTCACTTTCACATTTTTCCATCGGGCAGTTTTATTGTTTGCTATAAGGTCCTCACATTGACTGTAATTATTGATTTGGCTGACATCAAACCTTTCATCATTTGTGGTGTTAACACAGTAGTAGAATTTGCCAGCAAATAGATTTACTCCCATGATGCTGAAGATTAGCCAAAAAATGAGACAAACAAGAAGCACATTCATAATGGATGGAATTGCTCCTAAGAGGGCATTCACAACCACCTAGTGTACAAATAAAATATAAGGAAAATAAGGTTAGAATATGTATGGTAATAAAATAAGTATTTTATCTTTAATCAATCTTTCTCAAAAGTCATATTACTTATAATGTGTTCTATTTTCCAGTTGCTGAAAGTAACTCATACAATTGATAGAACAAACAACAGCTGAATAAAATCAGAACTTGGAAACAAGAGCATGTAAAATAAATAAGCAAAGACCTGTTAATGGTTAATTGCCTTATAATTTGAATACTGTAAGAAGAAAATAGATCCTAAATCCAGAGCCAACAATAATAGACCATTTGAAAGGCTCGTAGGCCCAATGGTTGGTGTTAAGTACGGTTTCATTAAATGATTCAATAATAATCTTGAGAGTAACATGGTAAATTTAGCCACAAGTGATACTTAATAGGGAATAACTTCAAATATTAGTAAAATAATGGAAAATGACTTTGAGATATAAATATGTGGGTTAACAATGTATTAAGTAGACATATCATCATGAATTAAGCAAAGAGCTTATACATGAACCAGTGTTTAAAGCATGGAATTATAGTTATGAAATTACTCAATGTACTTAACAGACACCAAGCCTTGCAAGACCCTTAAATCAGTGTTATCTGTATATGAGGCACAGATCTAGGGTGGATCCAGAGGGGGTACAGTGGTGTGGCTGCACTCCCTTTAAATTGTATGCTGCACACCCGCTAAGGTCCCAGGGTTTATGGACATTTCAGCAGAGCTCCACACGTGCTGTGAGCTCTGAGCTGACTGGCTGGTTGGTGTACGGTCAGCCTGGAGTCCCTACTTTCAAGCATCTACCTTTCTGCTGCTGTTTGCTTTTCTTCTCCCTCTCTGCCTCCCCCTCCTGAATTCAGCAGCAGGAGAAAGTAGCAGGCCTTGCCTTCATACAGCTCTGGAAGCTCTACACCACTGCTGCTTCCTAGTCCTCTCATTTTCCCTGCTGCTGAAATCAGGGGTGGGGGAGGGCAGCAGGCTTGGGAGCTGCTTTCAACCAGAAACTCCAGGCAGACCTTGCACCAACCAGCTGCTGAGCTCATGGAGTTCATTGGCATCCAGGATCACAGCAAAGGCCTGTTTGGCTGTGTAGCATATGTACAATTAGCCCTCTTCACTGTGCATGCAGCATGCTGCCAAAGGAGGTGTGGCTGCATCCCCATCACTGTAATTATGGATCTCCCTATGCACTGGGCTTGGCAGTGGACAGCAGTGGCAGAGCACAGGTTCCTCTTCCCAGCACCAATTCCTTGCCCACCCTCCCCCCAGGTGTAGGTTGGGCACAGGCGCTGGCAGGAGGGGCATGAGCACCACCACTGCTCTTCCTGACTGATCCCAGTGCCCCTCACAGCTTCTCCCTGCAGCTAGAGTAGGGCAGGAGCAGTTCTGGGGCTACCCCTGTGCCTGCATCACCTGGAGACAGTTGCAGTAGCAGCAGAGGGAGGTATGACCACATCATTGCACCCTGCAAGATCTGCCCCTGTTATGTTTTCCAATGTACAAATCGAAAGCTGTGTAAATACATTCAGATGATCCAGGAAAATGTTCCCTGTCCCCCCATCCCAATCGAAAAACTTATCCTGAGAGCCCTGGACAGACGTAAGAAAAGTCAAGCTGCTGAGGAGAAAACAGCCTGTAATGCTGAGGATTCCCAGCTAAGGGGCCCTGTGCATGCATCCCACTGTACTATACAGGATCCCCTATCTTCCTGGGGACAGATGGCAGTAGCATGCACAGGGAAACCCTGACTGCCTGACCCAGGCTGCTCAGGATCATGTGCAGGGGTCATAGCAGCTTCGGCAGTCCATGACTCCCTGGGGCCCTGGAGTACAGTGTGGGTATGATGAAAATCCATGTTCTGCTCTCTATTCATCGGGAACAGTAGATTTCAGCCCAAAGAACACACTGGCACATCTACACGAGACACTTTACTGAGCAGTAGAGCAAATTACTGCATAGTATGCATACTGCACCATTACATGTACAGACCCTTACTGCACAGTAATTTGCTCTACATTGTACATTGGAATGCTGAAGGACTGTTCTGCAGCTTCTCTTGGAAGAGCAAGTATACAGATGTTCAGTCTCCCAAGAGAAACACTCCTGGGAGTAATTTAACATTTGTTGTTCCTGGGCTATTTTTTTCTCAGAGTATCCATTTTTTCACTGGGAGAAAAATCTTGAATGTCTATATGCTTATGGTTAGTACTGAGAGAGCAGTGACTTTCCCAGTAGAAATTGAACATCTGTATATGGCCAAAGGTTGTATATGCTTAAACATAGTGACATAAGTCAAAATGGTATATTGTATACAAAAACTTGTAGATTCTGTTGACCCCCTTAAATATTAAAGTTGGATCTGCAGTTATTAGCCCCATTTGTAATGTAGCTAATGGAGTCCTGACAAATTGATAGTGCTGCCTTCCAGAGTTTAGTTACCCTTTCTAGAGCTTTTGAGAGTCTATAAATGTAAAAGGAGATTTCACAATGTGGATGCTTTTTGATAAAAAGAAAAATCACAATAGTTTCCTAGAAAATTCTATCAGAAAACCTGTTAGCATTTTCTAATAGCATCTCTAGCATTTGTAGCCACTTCTAGTTTTCTGGTGAAAAACATGCATTTGCTTAAATGCAAGAAAGATTGTAGGAATGGTGTATAATAATATGCAAGCCTCCTCATATTTCTTTTTCTATGGAAGGGTTTTGTTTGTGCTAAACCATGACACACTAAGAACTACTGGCTCTGTTTGAACCCAGAAATTAAGACCCTTTACAGAAAGCGCAAAAATACTGATTAAAACAAGGTTTTTAAGGAGAGAACTATTTGTTGCATGTTTGTCAGGTGTAGGATATTGTCAATGACAACCAAGTGTCCCTTGATGGAACTGGAAGACTAGAGGCCCCACACCCTTCCTGCTGGAACCAGAATGGAGGTGGAGAGTCATGCAGGGATTTCTGTTCTCCAGGCCTGAGGACAGTTGAATTTACAGGAATACATTCACTGGCTGTCCACCCTGCTCTCCCCAAACTTATCCTATGGAGGTAGGGGGACAACAGAGCCATGTGGGATTCCAGATATAATTGCACATATATAACTGGAAGCGCTTCAAAAGGAAGCACTTCCAAATAACTTCTATTTCACCTAGTTTATTTTTGGATTGCTTCAGACATTCTTGGAGTGGTTCATAAGGCATGCATATCCATCCACTTGCCCTTTGACATTCTTCATATGTATTTGAGGCACTTCACATTTACATCTGTCAGAGCCTTAGCCTCTTAAGCAGCTGCCTTTTCTATCAGGAGTTCTAGCCCAAGGGAAATGTCGTATTGCAATATGTGAGTCAGGGATTACTCTAAGTAAATAGAGATCTAACAAGTTCTGTGCCTTTTTGGGACATTCCATCTGGGAACTCCCAAAGTTTTGCATCATGGTAATATATACCACAGTGACTGAAAGTCTCAATTATGGCCCATGGAGTGCTTTGTAATTTCCCCACTCATACAAATAAATACTTTTAACTTTTCATGTGCCGGATATGTAAAGCATAGCCTCTTGATTATTGACTTCACATTCTGAAAAGATGCCCCAGTCTGCACTAATTCTTCTGATTACTTCTTACTATCAGCATCAACTTAATCTTTGTATTTTTTTCCTAATCATACCCTTAATTTTCCAGAAGATACCTTTACAGATGTATTTGTTCCAGTTGTAGGTTAAGGTAGTCTCTCTAAGTCAGTATATCTAAAGCTAAGAAGTCTAAACCTGAAAGGCATTTATTTGGTACTGCAGTTGGCTTCCTAAATACATCTGAGGGACCATGTGATACATTAGTACATGTATTACATATGTGATACAATATTGAACAGAAAATTGTATATATCAAATTACATATGGAAGTTCTCAGCTCTCTGGCCCTCATAAAGCTGAAGTGCTGCTCAATCAATATATATCTGGATGGCCTAAGCAATTATTGTGTTAAGTCAATTTTTTTGGTCATTGAAGCATATTGACTTCTGCTAAAGAGATTTATTTTGCACTCTCATGATCCTTACATTCAACTACACTCTTGTAAACTTTCACTAGAAGAAAAGAATCAGATTCAACTGTAATAATGTGATTTCAAAGTCCCAGAGGCAAAATGAATTGTGAAGTATTAATTAAAAAAATATGCCCACTCCAGAATTCACAGTGCAAATTGCTAAAGTTACTATGATTATGATAAAGTATAACTATAGATTTCACATACTATGGACTATTTACTGATATTAATAACAATATTCTTAATTTATTGTCACACACGCATCACTATTAAAATCACCTTGGTTATTTATGCAAATAATGCAAATTTCTTATTCTCTGTGTCAATGAAATTTTGGTTTTAGTTCATTTACAAAAATATCATTAATGGGATATTGCTTTACCAAAATATCATTCATATCATTTACCAAAATAAAAAAATATCTATAACTAAAATATGAAAAATTTAAAATCTGAAATTATGTCTATAGCAGTAACTATGAAAACTGTTTCTTTTAATACAGTATACTATTTGGTTATGTTTGAAACACAGGCAGGAAAGTATTCTTGTGTGAATTTTATTTCATCTGTTTAAAAGAACAACAAATGAAAAATGACCTGGTTTTGCAACTAATCTGACCTTGTAATTTGGCCTTGTAATACTAAATCCAAACTACAGTCCTTGAGCATTGGGTGAAGAGTAACCCATCACCACTGCAGTATTATGCCCATACAGGACATAGTATCTCTGAGTGTGGAAGGAAAGTATTCTGGGCTGTGGAATTTGCTGTACTTTCTTAGCCCCGCTTCTGCCAATTCTAAATATTCCTTTTTTAGGTGCTACATGATTCTGATAGTAGTGTTAAGTTAAATGGATAGAGGATCCTGGAGCCCTCTCCCTTTCTAGTCCTAATTTTTTTTTTTTTTTTATAGCACCAGCTCTCATAAGCTTATGACAATAAAAA